ACTAACAAAACATGTAGACGCTCATGGTACCATCTACATGTTTTGTTAGTCTTTAAACAGAGATCAAGAACCATTAGCACCTTCATTGTTTGGTTGGTTGATAATATGCCAGCCATTTGACATCATATTCAGACCATTTGTATGAGAATTAAACTTGTGAATGAAGTTAAGTTCCAACCCTTCTCTGTGTATTTGGCTTGTGGAATTGGTCTGAAACAAAACAGCCACTATGGAGATCTATTGATGAATGTCCAGGAAGATTAAAGTGTTCCCCAAAAGGTTTTTGTGTCTTGCCTTTTTGGATATCTGATTTGTGTCCATTAATTCTTTCCGTAGAGATTGTCCAGGTTTGCCAATATATATTGCAGTGGGGGCATTGCTGGCATTTGATGGCATAGGTCACAGAATAGTGGATGTGAGAGGATTTTGTGCTAAAGAAGCGTTTGTTTTTACAAGTAATTTTTTTTTTTATGTTCAGGAAACTGGAAGTGGAGAGGATTTTTGCTCATTTCAAAAACACATTTCTTTCATGAGGCCAAGCAATGGAAAGTTTTAGCCCAAAACATTGAGTAGGAATTTGATTTTTTTTGTACATAACTTTTATGTAACTGAGGCTGGTTTAGAGCTTTGGGAAATCTTGGAGTAGGAATGGAAAGTGTTAGTTTTGGGGTGGTTTGTCCTCATAATTGCAGGAACTTTTGAGAGCACATCACATTCTCAGAACGCTTGGCTGGCAGACTGATTTTACTTTAGCAGAGTGTTTCCTTCATGCAGATACACATACGTTAAGGCTCTTCCAGCAGCTGGAATTCCTCTTTGGCTTTATTTCTGGTCTTCGAACACTGTAATAAATCAACAGAATTTACTTGGGTTGAATTAAATGTTACATATGTACACAGTAACAAAGGGCAGGCTTAGGTGCAAAGATTTTGAAATGCTGAAAGAATTAAATTATCCAACTGTTCTCAAAATACAGTTCAATGTAGCAGAGGCAAGCAATTTATCATGAAATTTACCTTTTCTCCCTTCCCTCCCTGCCCTTAAAATATCCAGGAATGGCATACTCTCCAGTGTGGGTTGCAGAGAGAGTTGAGGAGGAATCATTGAGTAAGGGGTATTAAATCCACCACAAGGCTATAGACCTCCTTTTCCACTAGTCCACTCTGCAGATTGAACAGGATCTTGAAGCCTCTCCTTTCCATCTCAAATGAGCATTCTAGCGGGTGCTTAATTTGTAAGGAAAGCAGTGCTGGGGCTCAAGCGGTTGTTTTTATGTGCATAACTCATGCCAAAGCCCAAAGGCTTGCAAAATTGCCAAGCCTAGAGGTGGCAAGCTCAGTCATGGAAAGCTCTAGCAAAAGTTAAACATTGCTTCTATCCCACTGCCTCTAAGTGTGGAATCTAGCCAGTGGACTTCTTTTGCTAGCCGATTTGGGGGCATTCAGACCACAGGCTATACCTGCCATTTCACTGATAGCTATTTAGCTTGTGCTCTTTGTGCAGCACCATTTTAAAGATGTGGTATGGAGTAAGGAGGTTAGCTATAGTGTAATTGAATAGTTGTATAACCGCATGAAATCTAGGTGGTTGCACAACTATTCAGTAGTCCCTAGGGGTGGGGTCAGCAGCCAGTGAGCTTCCTGCTCCACTCCCAGGGAGCCCCTTGCCACCTTGCACTGCTGCCTATCAGAGGAAGCAGCAGGGTGGCAGGTTGGAGCTGGTTCACCAGGGGAGCCAGTTTAAAAACCAGTTTCGCAAACCGGCTGGCCCGTGCTGTGGTCTCTGATACAGGGGCCACAGCACGGGGGGG